ATTACGACTTACTAATCAGTTACAAAGATATGGAACAAATTTTGTTTATTTACCGGATAACTAGTTCATGCACCGCAATTTTACAAAAATAAACTTGAATACATAATATACTTGCATTAAAAAATTGAGATTTTTATCATTTATTTTATAATACATTTCCATATATTTTTATTAGAGCGCAGATTTAAAAAATATTACTATTGTCATTAAACAAAAATATAATCTTATTCACACAACTTTCATATGTATATAGTTTATTTAAAGTGTAAATATTAAACATACTTTCAAATTTAATTTTCTTTGCAGGGATTATATGTCTAATACATCCTTAAGCAGAAAAGATGACTCTACACGGTTAACAATACTAATCAGTAATATTGAATCAGTAACATTGATAGTACGCATCAATATTTTTAGTATTTTTACAACCTTACACGATCAGTATTATTGACAATGGGTGCATTCAGAATAACAACCGCTCACTGAGCTCTTTCATCTGATATATTCCAGTAGATCCTAAAATATTGACCAATCAGATGAAAGAGCTCACTGAACGTTCAGTGAGCGATTGTCATCCTGAATGCCCAATTATTTTACTTTAGTTTTACGCATGTAAGAAGACAAGATGTACCATTTCCAAGGACATGCACAGTATGAGAGTGAATTGTGGCCAAAATTTGATTGGCTATTCCAATATGCTAGCGCTATTATATGCAGGAAAATGCATAGAGACCAAAATTTGATTAATTGTTTTCGCTATTGCCATTATACGTAGTGATATACGTTGTGATATTCTTTGTGTGTACATCATAGTTTTATGTACAATATTTATTGCACTGTGATATACTGTAACATGAATCCCAATATTGATGCTCGACAATTCAAAATCCAGATTACCATCAGTAGTATTCTATATCAATCCATCAATATTAATCATACACGATGAATAATATTGTCAGTACTTAGTTAATACTGACAGTATTATTGACTGTGTAAGGTCTTAAGGTAAATCTTAAGACGTAAGCAATAAGGAAATCAACATATTGGATTTGTTACTGTTTATTCTCTAAAACTTTTAGAGTGAATCTCACTTTGAAAAATAAAATCTCACTCTTGAAGATTGAAAATAGAGTCACCTTTTTCAAAACGCTCAATTTTTATTCTTTAAAGTGAGATTCCACTCCAAAGAACTTAGAGAGTATGTTATGGCTTTATATAATCTCTACTATGATTGACCAATTGCTCACTGTTTATGTTTTACTATTTAAGTTTTTGGTGTATCATGGCTCTATAAAGTTTACTCTATGATAGCCGTCAAGCTATAAAATTAATTAATCATAGTCGAATGTGAAGAAAATAATCGACTACGATTGATTAAATTTTACGGATTAATGGCTATTATAGAATATATATAAACACCATATTTGGTCAAGGCGATTCTCTAGTAATACATGTTGATATTATATAAACAGTTGTAAAACATTAGATATATTTAGAAAACGTATATAAAACATATATAAACCAATAAGTATATACTCAGCTTCTTGCTTAATAATACTTCTCGTGAATTTGTACAATTTCCAGTTCAAGCAAACTGTGCGCCAATTATTTGTCGGTCTTGAAATATGAAAAACCTAAACCTAAGCTAGAATAGTACATCATAAATTAAATTAACAAGCAATTTAATAGATATTATATTGATGCTAATAAACATTTTCCAAACTCATAAATAATGTTGTAGAATAAGCGTAAAAGTTTCTTCGGAAAACGGAAAGCGCTTTGTGAGCGACGAAGGCGCCTGAACTACCTGAAGTTGGCGCGGAACAGGCCGATCGATCAACGCCGGCGCGACGAGAAGCACAGACGGCAGGCGGTAGCAGGAATCGAGCATTCGATACGTTCCTTGCTTACCGTTGATATTATTAATAACGTGAGAATTGGTGCGTCACGTGGTTTTCAGGGTGCGAATTGTCTCGGTCATGCATTTCTATTCCGAACGTCGGCGATAATTCTGATCGATACGCAACAAAAGCGCAACGTTGCGTGGCGGAGAGCTGAGAAAGATGAACGGACAGATAAAACGGACGGAAATCGCGGAAAAAAAGAAAAGGATCCCACGTGGCACAGCTTCGCGAGTCTGCTGTTCGCTGAAGCGATCGCTCGGCGAGCTGGGTGGGATCATAACGGACCGACGAAGACCAAGTGAGCCGCACCTAGACTTAGGCGGATATCAACCGACATAGCCATCGCGCTCGCATTATTAGGGAGTTTTTGCGTGACTTCAGGTACGATGAATGTTAAAGTTACGTAATCCTTTTTTAATTAGTTGTTGAGAAGAAGGTAACGTGAGCGTTCACCATATTTGAATAACCGGTATTACAAAACTCCCTAATAATGGTAATAATGTCTTTATTACCTACCTTTCTTGGATATTTAGCAAAGTCGCTGTGAATCGTCGTGCCGATTGGATCGTCAGCGGCATCTGTCGTCGTGAATTCAAACTTCGCCGCGATCGTTTTCGATCGCGCGTTGTTCGCTCGGTTCGCGCGAGCCGCGAGGCAAAGTGAGTGAAGTAAGCCGCGTAGATCGCTCGCAAGGCAGCAGCAGTCGCCTGACTTCGCTTTGCTCGCTTGCCGAATCGTCACTTTGGCGCGTCACTTCGCGTCGATCCTAGAGTCCTTCTAATAAGAGTCAAGTCATGAGGGACACCGATTGGTCAAATTTCCCTTGAAGCACCGTCATATTTACTGATATTTTCAATATGGCAGTAATCTGCGAATTGGTGTGAGCAACTGTTTAATGGTGCACAGAAGGCGCGAAATCGGACTTTCAATTGTCAACCATGGTGGAATTGTGCTGTTTCCAGTATCCCTTCTGCTCTTAACTCTTCTATATCTTAACTCTTACTAGAGGAACTTTTCTAGTCGTTCCATAGAGTGATGAACATCCTCGAACAAATTACTCTTTTTCTTTTCAAGGTAGCGATTATTATTTTGATTATTATTTCGATAATTTGAAAAAAAAAACTTTAAATTAATCAATGAATATAAAGTATTATATCGTATATCTTCTCCATCAGATATAATTGATCAATTAAGTAATTTCACTGTTTGTAGATACTTTCTTATGTTTTACAGCCTAATATCGAATGCGGTGGAGCAATTTTTTCGATTTTGACGATCAGACATCAGTAATTTTTACAATAAATCGAGATCCTTGTGACATTAATCGTATTAGAACAGGTAAATAAATATTCTTTTCTATCGATTGATATATTAAATTAATTAAATAATTAAATAAAATGGCTTTGTTTTAACACTTTCGCTAATTTTATAAAAAATTAGCGAAAGTGTTAAATGATAAAACATATATATCAATTAAAAAACAAATAACGGTCGTTTTGAAGATCTTACAGTTGATTTAAAGTCTTATGAGGAGAGAGAAAGACAGAGACTCGGGAAAAAATGTTATATAAACATATTTTATATATAATTATATATAATTATAAATAATTTTATATAATTATATAAAATTATATATGAAACATTTTTTTCTCGGGAAAATATTAAAAATTCACATATTAAACAAAAATCTCAATTTTCTTGATTAAATTTAAAGAGTAATAGATAAAATAATGCAAATTCAATGAAGTCGATTGTACGTAAATATGTAAGTCTGCGTTCGTATTGCTTGAAATTTCCAAAAAACGAGATAAATAAATAGATCTGTTCACATGCTTTGCATTGAAAAGAAAAAAAGCAAAGATACTGAGAGCAAAAAAGTGCAAGCAACGCGAACAGACTTTATATTTGATATTGAAAAGAGAAAAAGAAAAGATTCCGAATGCACAAAGTGTAAGCAACGCAGGATTTGAAATTACAAAAGAAGTTTTTTTTTTCTACAATATTTACAATTTTATTGGTTACTTCTAGTAAATTTGCTCACTTTTGTAATTTTCACCTCGTGTTCAAGAAAAAAAAATTAAGAAAAAAGTCAAGACAAAATCTATCCCTTTATAATTATTGCTGAATTGCCATTATTTTTAAATTTACAAGTCTTACATTTCGTATTACGCGTGAAGCGCATGAGATACCATTTTATTCTTTATTTTTCATTTTAATGAACGACAAACGATGCATCATGTGCTTTGTAAGTGCTATTTCATTTGTGTGTTTTTGTCGTACGACAAATATACAGGGAAAGTAATGATAAATCTTCCGTATAGGATAGAATGAACTAAACTGAGAAGAAAAGTCCCTTCTATCATTTCTACGATTTTAGCAATAGTTAATGAGATATTAATTTCTAAAAGTTACTGAAAATTGATCTTCAATAATTTTTTACTCAAATACTATGAACTTTACAGAAAAACTGTAAAAGACAAAAATTGTTTATTTTCTTCTCATAAAGCTCTGAACATTTTTTCAGAATTTTTTCAGAATTTTTTAACATCATATTTTCTTATGTTGGTAAAAATAAGAAAATGCAGTTCTAAAAATTTGATAAAAAGTTCTGAAAAAATTCTTAGAGTTCTATGAGAAGAAAATAAACAGTTTTTTTGTCTCTTGCAGTTTTTCTGTAAAATAGATAGTATTTGAGTAAAAAATTATTGAAGACCAATTTTCGACAATTTTTAGCAATTAATATCTTATTAACTATTGCTAATCATAAAATGAGAGGACTTTTCTTCTCAGTTTAATCCATTCTGCCCTTATGCGAAAGATTTATTATTACTTTCCAAGCATCCTATATACAGAACAGAAAGGTTCTCGGATCTTTTTATCCCATAGCCAATCAAACAGGCTTAAAAAATTTATCCGTACGATAAAAACACACAAACGAAATATTACCCTAATATCACCTTCGGAAGGCACCCTCAAACTTCCGTGCAGAAAATTTTGTGCAGTATATCGGTCGATAGCATATGAATGAGAATCGCGATTCGATTAGTTTATTATTTGTCGACCGCAGCGGGGCTGGCCTATCACATTCGTAGTTTCTTTTATCATTCGACTCGACGACTCAGGTAAAATTTGAGCAATCACGATCGCCTAAATAAGAGGGAGTGGTAAAAGATAAGTGCGGCCAATGCGCGTGGGCAAGTCGGGATAAATTTGGAAGTGTTCATGGGTAATCACGGACTACGGAGTGGATTGGCGGCGTTCTACAGTTTTAAACGGGAATTTATGTGAATCGGCGTTTCGTGGTCGACCGTCTGTATCGACACACCGATTTCGTCGCGCATTAAATCGCATATAATCGCAGGATTGCGTCGTTTATTTACGCAAGATGTATCCGTGCATCAGCGAGAGGTCATGTACGAAGCCGTTACACAGGCTATCGCCATCGAATTATAGCGTCCCCAGCACGAAGCTAAGGAACGTGATTTGCGTCCTCTGCAAGAGCAAATTTTGCGTGCCAGGTAATTTCTGCGTTCAAGTTAACCTCCTACATTGCGTCGTATCTTCGTTGGTTCTCGCTTGGCGTTATCGATTCCGCATGCCGGCGACGTAACGAATCGTCGGCGAATCGTAATTGCGTTTCTAAGACTTGTCTGAGATGTCCTGTCGCCGATGTGCACGTCGCACATGATGCCGGTGGATACGACATACTCGCGAAAATTCTGCGAATGTTCCTTTCGTCTGATCGTACAGCGTAGACGAGGAATGTTAGAGAGGTTAGAATTCCATGTGTATGCGATCCTACTCGTAAACACTTTTCCTCTGTATTTACTTTGTAGCTTGCGATATACAAAATTACTGTACGTATATTTTTCACGGAATAATCGAGTATTTATTATAAAATACTTGAAATTTATTAGGAACAAGTGCGTTTCAGGTTTATGTCTGATTTGTATTTAGAGGCTTGTACTATTTAGCTGAACTTCTTACAGTTTTTGTTTTTTTTTTATGTGGCAAGGAGGAAGGATGTGCAAAAAGTTCAAACAAAACAAATCTTTACCACAATACGTAAGGCTTGTTTTTTTTACAACTGAACTTTTTGTACAGTTCAGTCTTTTCTCTTTTTTTTTTCTTGAAAGAGATAAAAAGAAAAAGGCTATATATAAAATTTGCTATTAAAGTATTTTTATACTTATAGGATTTAACAATTAAACTTCAATAAACAAAATAGTGACATATATTATATGTCATTATTTTGTTTATTGAAGCTTGATTGTTAAATATAAATATGGAAATACTTTGATAGCAGACAGTTCTATTCTATGTCATATAATCTAATAAAAATAATTTGTTTTGCTTACCTTGTTACCTTATTAAATAGCAGAGGAATACATAGCTTATATATTATGATTTATTAAATAATAAAATTTATTAGATCAAAATAGAAAGATCTTTTTGTCAAAATTGTTACAGATCTATCAAACTTGAATCTCAATGGATCCATATCGAGAGGAACTCTCATACCTCTGTTGTTGGATTGTGGACATCCAATATGTAATAAGTGTATCAACGTTAAGTTCGCGAATCTTAAAAAATGCCCTAAATGTGATAAAATCATTGAAAATTGCAAGTCTTTGCGTCCATTGAATTTACATGCACTAGGATTAATTATTTCATCCTATCATCGTCCACTGGAAAATGATGAAGAATTTCTATTCTGTCATAAATTATCTTCACAATTACGTCAAATAACAAAGAAAGGTTAGAGAATATAGCATTGATGAAATAAGTTATCTTTTCTGAAGAATAATATGCGTTTAATGTGCGTTTTTGGTTATAGGAAGTTGTCATGAATGTGGAAATCAAGCTAATGTAAAGTGTCCACAATGTATGGCTCTCTATTGTTACTCCTGCTATTCAAAAGTAAATTGGCACACCTATGCATGATATTTATAATCAAATGGATTTTTTTTGTATCTTACGACTTTGGTTCTGTTTTGATTTTAGATTCATGGAAGGGCATTACAGAATCATACGCAAATTCCAATATGTGATGGAAGCTCCAACAGTCCTGCCTCTATATTGAATAGTTGTTCATCAACATGTTCTGAAGCGCTAAGCTATTTTTGTAATGACTGTAATGTGGCTTGTTGTTCAAATTGTACTTTGTGTTCGCACAAACTGCACAATTATGTATCCTTATCAGAAAAGGTTAGTAGTGTTGCTCAGATTGTAAGAAATTTATTATTGTATATATATATATATATAGTTAGGAGGAGCTTAAACGATTTGTTTTATTGACAGAATCAGACTCTAATACCAGAATTCAACGAGATTTACGAGCACATCGAGGAAACACTGCAGCGAGTCTACCAGACGAAAGAGGTGAGTACACATTTTTATTAAATATTTTTCTTGACGAGGAACTCATTCAGTTACTACGAGATGCATATGCCAGTGATAAATAAATAAATTTATTTATTAAAACTTTTAACAAAGTATTAGGTACGCGTAGAAAGATTAATATATGGTCATTTAGCGATATATAATTCGAACATATCGCTTATTATTTTAATGTGGTTTTTTTAAACAGTTTTTGATATAAATTATAAATTAAATATTCTAGTCATATTCTCGCAAATACATGATACAAGTACACACTTTAAATATAAAGGATCATATATAAATTGGAATATCATATTTTATATTGGGGTAGAATAATTATAGATAAATGGCGAAACCTAACGGATTTTTCCCTATGAATGTGATATTCGCAATGAAAATATTAATTATATTCTCAACGCGCAATAATACTTCTATAAGTGTTACTATTTACGTTGTTTACTTGAGTAAAATTTTATGCAATTTACCACAGTTATGGGAAGGGCATGGGAAGGGGAATTTGTATTAAATTTTATATTAAATTTTCATAATATCGAATCGTAAATAATTTCATTAAATTTTTAGTTAAAAAATAACTTTCCAATCTTCAATTTTTTTTACTTATAATTAATATCTTAGAGAGAGTCATTTAGGTTTATTAATAGCATTATTTACGTTGTTGAGAAAAATATAATTGTCTTGTTTATCTATTTCGAAAGTTATGATTACTATGATTGAAATTTATAATTTAATCGAACCATTTAGAGTTCCGTAAGATAGGTGGACATTTTTCATGATAAATAGTACGTAATAGTACGCATATATGACTAGAGAGAATATAAGAAATACTTAATATCATCAGCCATTTCATACCCGTAAAGAGACCGTAAGATAATCTAACTTATTTTACGAGCGATGTGATTTACTCTATGCTTAAATCACATGTAACTATCATATACATATTGCACTTTTTCGAGATTGTAAGACTCGTTATTACAGAGTTGTGTCCTTACAATCCACGACATATTTCCGTTATAATGGCAACGAGTTAAGTAATATACGTTAAGACTAAATTATTATAATTTAGCACATAACGCTTTAATTACGCGTCTATTCTTCGTCGTTCGCCGTTTGTGATTTGCCCTTGTGCTTGCTTTTCTCTTCCTGTTGTTTCTTCTTCTCTTGTAACTTTTTTTCCTTCATTTTTGCCTCCATTTCTTTGAACTTAAGTTCCAAGTATCGATCTACTTCTGGACCAGTGAAGTCTTCTGGGAATTTAGGCATAATTGGCAGGATGTATTTGTACAGTCGTTCATTTAGCACGTATAATTGAGTAGTCGTTTCACATTTCACATTGAACCACCAATCGCACGTCAATGCTACCTGGCTGAATATCGTGCCGTTTGGACACAAGAATGATGACTTGCCACCATTGAGATCGCAGTAATGCCATACCTGAGGACAACATTATCGTTGTGAAACAATTCTAGAAACTATCTTCAATAATATAAAATTACATGAACTTTCAATTCAAAAGAGATTATAGATAAAAGCAGAGAGATTAAGATTAATGTGAAAAATGTAAATATTATGCGCGCGTGCAGAATGTTCTATACTGAAAAAATTAAGAAATATTTGTGTAAATAATACTAATTAAACATTTACTTACAGTAAATAAATATTTATTATACTTAATAAAAAAAAGACTTGAATTAATGGTTCTTGAATAAATATATGTTTATATTTAGTAAATTAGTAAATTTAATTAATACTGTTAAACAAATATTTATTAAAAATTTAGTGACATTTTTTCAGTGTACAGATTCGTTTAAGAATAAATGTTTACCAAATATAAACATATACAATATTTATTGATACAAAAACAATTAATTTTATTCAAGTGTCAATTTTTTATTGTATAAATATTTATTTACTGTAAATATTTAGTTAGTACTATTTAAACACTTATTAAACTTTAGTAAATTTTTTTTGATGTAGTGTTTTTATTAAATTATAATATACTCACTTGGCATCCGGTCGCTGGGTCACCGAAAAATCCTTTGTATCTTTGATCCTTGCAACTGAATTTGGTTTCCGGAATAGTCGCATATGCCGGGTAATCGACGTTGGGTTTTCCACGCGTCGCGCCATATTTTAATGCTGGCAACGGTATTTTCGATCCTGGACGCGTAACTTCATTCGGCGCTACGTATTCTTGACTCAAGGACGCTTCGGTAGAAATCGGTAGGGTATACCGTTCATCTTGCAGGATATCATCGCTCAGATCTTCCGTAATCTCGTACGAGTGTTCAGTGGTAGAAATAGGCGTAGAGGTCGGTCTGAGTCCTTGTTGTTTGAGTTGTTCGTTGGAGACATCTTGAACGTATGGGATGTAGTATTCTACTTTTTCGTCCTTCACATAGTTCAGGTTATAATCTGTTTGCAATGATGGCTTGATTTCGGTGTCGTCCGTCGCCTTATATCGTTCGGGATCATCAGTGAGTATCAGAGGGTTTGGTGTTACTTGAAATCTCGTTTCGGTGATCACCTTCGGTCGCGTATATGTTTTCGGTTTGTACATATCGTAGCCGATCAATCTGGGCGGTGATGGTAGCGGCGATGGGGGTCTTTGTGGTTGTGGGAAATTTTTCTGCTGCGTATTGTGCAGGATGTTCAGGATCTCAATGAGTGTTTTAATACTACTATCTAGATTATCTTTGTTTAACGTTTCCGGTAATTGTTCGGACAACTGGAAACTCTCGATCAGATTGTTCAGGTTCACATTCGGATTCACGTTCTGCTTTCGATAAAGTGAGGAGACCGACGGCTTCACTGACTGCTGCTGCACGTTTGCGTGCACTGGAATATACCTCAACTCCTCCTTATTGGGATAATTAACGGCGATGTTCGGCCTGGCCGTGTAATCCTGATCGTAATCGTCCTCGGGGTTATCTAGCAGTGGTTTCTTGACCACGGAAGTGGAGGGCTGTAAGGGTCTTGCGGTGACATAGTATCGATTTTCCTTGTTCAGGATATGACTTGCAGGTGTGATTTCGGGATAGGATTTTTGTACCTGATAGAGTTGATAGGACGGAGTGGAATACTCGGCGTAGTTGATTTTAGAATTATATTTTACTGGCACGAAGTAGTCGTTATCGCCTCCGATGTTTCTAGGATCAAATTGCACGGACGGGACGAACTTTTGGTCGGGTGGATTGACACGATACTTATTACCACCTCGTCTCGGCACACCAACGAGCCGAGTTACAGTGTGTTGCCGTGACGGAGGTTTCCGGAACAGAGTCCCCGACAACTCGTCAGCGTAATTTTGCGCTAACGCAGCCTGAGCGTTTAAGTAATTATTAGCAACGTAAAAAGTCATGTAGGGTATTAATCTTCGATATCTTTCCTTGAACGTTGTCAGGTTCATATTCGCCGGTAATTCATCCCCGTCGTCCTCCGAAATAGCACTGGTTGCGTTCAACTTTGCCAGCTCCGATGCTTCAAAGCCTCGTATTAAGAGAACTGCAACCGAAAAAGTCATTTTTTTAACGCTTTTCAAGCAGATTTAACTTTCTTTTTTCATAATATATGATTATCTAAAGATTAAGCTATTAAGAAATTAAATTTTATTGATGAATCTCTTGGTAACCTTTAATTTTTAGGCACATATTGTGAAAACAAATAGGTGATTTAAAGATACATAAAGGTCGCTAGATGAAGTGTCCAGAATATCCTAAAAGATTGTAGTTGTATGGTTATATTTTATTTTTTACTAGTATATTATTATATATTTTAGTAAAATTTTTACTTGTAATTATACTCTTATGAGATAGAAGAATTTGAAAATGAATTATTTTAAGATTTCTGGACATTTGGGCAATACTTTTTATTTTCTTTTTCCAGAACAAAATTTTAAAGAAATATATATTCAGATACGCCACTTCATTCACAGGATTAGTGGCATGATTGAGATAAACTATTCAATGGATTTACGTAAACAAAAGTACATTATATTCATGATATTAAAGTTTTAAGAAAATAAATTATTGGTTCTGCGTACATTGGAAGAAATATTAGAAGCAGAAATAAATATTAAATATTAGAGAAATAAGAAATTAGAAATATAGATTAGACATAAATATAACACATATTACAAGTAATAAGTTATATCTTCTTTGTATCTATTGTGCTTCACTTTCAATCTTTATTCTTAATTATTTTATTTTTCCAATATTTCATATTTATTCATATTTATTAATATTTCTTCCATTGTGTGCAGGGTCACACGCATGGCGTAGTTAAATAAATTAGCTCTTGGGAATTTAAAATTCGAATGGAATTCACAGATTCGCACGGGACGGTACTGTCTCGTTGCGTTTTCGATGCATCGTCACGATTGCATGAACGACCGCGTGCGGAAGAACACGAAAAGAGAATGAGAGATAACGCGGTACGTCTGAACGTCCCGACAAAGACGAATCATGGGGAAAGGGAATACGGTCGAGGGTTGAAGATTGAGCGGACGATAGAGTTGGGGGAGTGGATTGGACGTTTTTAGCGGTTGCGCCACTCGAACGTGCCAGCGCGAATATATCCTCTGCTGTACGAGACACCGATACACGCGTGCATGCACGCACATCCACATACGCGGCCTTTATCTCTTGCTATCTCGCCGCACGTACAAAAGCGCTGGCCGGCTCTCCGAATATTTTCCTTCTAATTTAATTTCACGCGGGCGGAACGTGCGGTACGCGTGCGTACTTCACACGTTTCCAAGGGAAGACGTGTATCACGCACACGGCTATAACGATGCACAGTAGCTTTTTGAAGAGTCGATTAGAGGTATACGTATTTTCCGTGGGACATCGTAAATCGTCACAGAGTTCTTTTCGTTCTTTTTCAATTCTCTTTGTTACGCACCTTTCTATGAATACTTTGTTCAGTAACGATCAAATTTTTCTGTGAAATTAAGAATTTATTGAGTATAGTTTCTAATTAAT